AACGATATATATGTATATATTTTTATGAATGACTCGACCCCCACGCTTCATGTGCGCGGGAACGTATAATCTTTTATGAACTGAATGCACGAGTGCACTATAAAGTACTTCTCAACACACACACATATATGTATACTCATGCTATATAAATGTCTTTAAACTCGCAAACTGAAAAAAGAAATAAACGCACGATTAATAAAGAAAATTCAATATTCACTGAAAAAAAAACAAAATTTGATTTCAAATAATCGTGTACTTGACTATTATCAAATAAATATTTTAAAAATTTTTTTTAATTTTTATTATTATTTTTTATTACCTATTTTTTATTATTATTCATATTTATTTATTATATTTATAACTTGAATTACTTGGCTATTATCAAATAAATATAAAGGATCAAATAAATTTTTTTTTCTAATCAAAAAAATTGTATGCAAATCAATAATTTCTGTATTCAAAATAAATTTACTCTACTCAATAATTAATTATTTGGTACAAATAAATATATTTATTTGATAATAGTAAATTATTATAAAAAAAATTTATTTGGTTCAAATAATCGTGTACTTGACTATATATTATCAAATAAATATTTATTTTTGTATCAAATAATTATTATTCGAATCAATTGTATTTATTTTAATTATACAGAAATTATTAGTTCCAATACAATTTATTTAATTCAAATAAAAATTATTTACCTGTTATAATTTATTTTTTTTTGAAATTATTATTCTTAAAATAAAATATAATTATATTATTTTAAATTATTAAAATTTTTTTTTAAATTTAATTTCTTCTAATCGTAATTTTTATCGACTAAAATTATTATTTATCAACAAAGTCCACTTCTGGACCAAAAGGCTGAAGCTTAATAAATAAATAATAAATTATTATCAGGATTATAAATTAATTAATAGAATTTTGATTTAAAATCGAATTTTCGTCATTCTTTTTTTGAATAAAAAATAATTGGAGAAAATTTTTTAATTTTAGAAGAAAGTCTAATTTTATATAATATATATTAATATTATAAATTTTGATAATATAGTGTATTTTAGAACAGTCTGGGTCACACGATCTATCGTCGTTTTCAACCTACATGATAATCGCTTCTGAGTATGTGATATGTATATATTATTAAACACACGTAGAAAATAATCGCTTATATGTGTGTGTGTGATAATATGTGAAATGCCTCGCATTAAAGCGCCATCCACTCACCCACGATATATCGCTTTTGTTAGTATAAATTCCGCGAATTAGCCGGTACGATGAGATTTTCTTTCATCCTCAGCCAGACGGATCGAGTAAGGTCTGCCTCCCAGGAATCATTTGACCATTCTCGACCGTCACGGCGGTCGAGAGAGAAAAAGAGAGAGAGAGAGACGATTCTGATCTTTTTAAACGCCAAGAACAGGAAGCGCCTTGATCTCTCCCTCTCTCTCTCTCTCTCTAGACGAAACCATTGCTATAGTGATTTTGTGTCTGGTACCGGCACAAGAGAAAAATTGCGATATTATTTTATCAATTCTTTCTCTCTCTATATATATATTGTATATAAAATTCCATTCGCGATATCGTTTCCTCCCCCCTCACCCCTTTTTGATCGATTTTCCTCTTCTATGAGGAAAAGTCTGTCTGACTTTTTTTATTCTTTTTTTTCCGCAATATCAGGAAACCACATATTTTAACAGGTAATAATGTTTCAAAAAAAAAAAAAAAAAAATGACGTTAGAATAATAATTACGGAGGAAAATTGCTTGCATTCGAAATTGAATTATACGAATTGAAGTAATTACAATAAGTTAATTAAGTGACTTTAAGAATTAATTAATTGAATATATTTTTAATTTTTTGTACTATTTATTTCCTTTTTTACTATTTATTATTTGTTTTTTTATTTTTTACTATTATTTTCTTTTTTTTTTCTTTTTATTATTTATTTTTGCATTAAATTTTGTCGAGTGAAAAAATATATAGGTAACAAGTCCTTTTTTTTTCTCCTATACAAATTTACTCTAAACAAACACAATATTATATATAAGTCGTCATGTTTATACCTCTCTATATAGTCAATTCAAGAATGGAAATAAAAATTCTTGATGTAATGTTTACTGGCGTTAAATTGCTACTAAGATAACTTCACTACTAATTCTGAGAAACTATATAAAGAAGCAAATAATAGGTGGGTATATAGACGCGTAACAGAATTCAACTCCAACTGCATTCTTATAATATTGTAAACCGGTTAAAAGAATTCTCTAAATACAAGTTAAACATAGTTTCCTCAATAATTTATCATATGATACTTTCAAAAAGATCTATTTAAAAAAAAGTAAATCAAAGCACTATTTAAAAAAAAATTTTTTTGAAAAATTATTTCCCTTTACCTGAAACAAAAAATTATGCATAAATAATAATAAAAAAGTAAAAGTAATTAAATAATAATAATAATATGTAATAATAAAAAAAATTTTAATAAATAAATAAATAATTAAATAATAAATAATAAAAAGGGAAATTTTATAGAAATATTAAAAAATATTTTTAAATATTAAAAATATTATAAATATTATAAATATTAAAAAATATTTCAAAGAAACAAAAAATAGAAAAGCAAAATATTTATTGGTAAAAAAATAGTGTTAATATTGTGCGATTTTTTTCAGCAAAAATTATGGGATATGTCGTCTAGTTTTTTTTTTTTTTTTTTTTTTTTTTCATTTTTGCACGTGGTTCCTTTTGCCACTTCAAAGTACATCACTGGCGTGGGTGGAATTACGCAGGCATTTATTTAAACTCGACCCATTTCCTTCGTCGCGCGACGACGCTCGTCTGGACGCCCGCAAATCGCTTCCGCGAACACGCGAATTTATTGCCGAACGGCTGAGCATCCTGCTCGATTCATGAGTCTATGATAACTAGTACAAACATGTCTCATAAATTCTGACACTCAAATAATTGAGTCTCTATATGTTTTACAAAAAAAAAAAAAAAAATTATACAAACACGCCCAATAAACGAATTTCAAAATTTATAATATATCAAAAATAGAATACAAAAAAATTTTTTTTTTAAATAAATAAAATTATCAAATAATTAATTAATTATATTTTAAATGGTTTCTATAATAAATAATTAAATATTAAATAAAATAATTTTATAATTGTCAATGTTTGGAATTTTTTTTGAACAAAAAAAAAATTATTTAGAAATTAGTTCAGGTTTGATTGAAGGAAAAATGGAGAAAAAAAATTTTTTTTTCAATAATTTTCATAAATAAATTATTATATCCTGAAAGAATCTTTACCTCGAGATTGAATAAATTCTACCCACATATAAAGTGCGTTTGGAGAGTACTGGATCGAATGGGAATTTTTTTTTTTTTTTTAAGATAAAGAAGTGAATAATGTGGAACAACGAATAACCTATTGTTTCAACTTCATAACTTAAGCAGCTTTTATTTAGTCATTATCTAAGCCATATTTTATTTAATCCACTCCCTATTTATAAACCGTATCTCATTCGCTTTCTCGAAACATTTCCTACTATATATGTCGATCTATTCTCCTTTAATATCTTATGAATTTTCTCCTCTCATTGCTTTTATTATTTTTTTTTTTTTTTGCACAACGATATCCAAATAATTATAATTTTTTGAAAATCTAATCCAAAAAATTGGGAAATAAATTTGTAATTTCAGAAATGGAATATTTTTGTAATAAAAATTTTGTAGAATAAAATTTCGAATGAATAAATTTATTCATAGAGAATAAAATGTTATTCGAATAAGGGAATTAAAAGAAAAATTTCCTCAACAAGATGATTTTCTATAGAAAAGTGAAAAATTCGATAAAGGAGAACAATTCTATACAATTAAAATTCGGTGATACATATAATGAAAATTCAGAATAGAAATTCTTTCAAATGAAAATTCAATTTGAAAATAATTCCAGAATCTTATCAAAATTTACGAAGAATATAAACTAAATTCTCAACAAATCAGAAAAAAAAGAATCTAATTCTAATCTGAAAAATGATCATCGACTCTCTATATTGGTTTAAATGTCGATTCAGTTTGCAAACAATTCTATACAATTAAAATTCGGTGATACAATGAAAATTCAGAATAGAAATCCTTTCAAGTGAAAATTCGATTTGAAAATAAGTCCAGAATCTTATCAAAATTTACGAAGAATATAAACTAAATTCTCAACAAATCGGAAAAAAAATGAATCTAATTCTAATCTGAAAAATGATCATCGACTCTCTCTCTATATTGGTTTAAATATCGATTCAGTTTGCGTATATATATAGATATAGAATCGATATAAAGTTGAATGCGAGTGGGTTCGTCGTTGGTGGTGGGCCGTAATAACGGGAAAAGTAAATCGGATCGCCTCTCACTCTTGACCGAAGCGGGTAAAGCGGAAAAATTCAAATTCCAACTGGCTGTTCGCCATACTCAACGACGGTTAAGCACCAAGATCCAAGCATATTTACTCACTCGGGAGGCAAATGAGAGCAGTTACTTAACGCATTTCTGAGAAAGTTTGCAACACCGTCATATATACTAAATTCGCATATACGCACCTTTAAATTATCGAAAAAAAAGAATCACAAATTCCCTCACTTCCAACAAACAAAGATAAGAAATCGAATCAAAATATTTTTCGATAATATATTAGAAATATTGTTTCGAATATTGAATTTTCTATTTACGAAATTATGAAGGAAATTTAAGAAACAGTATTTATGTAATAAAAGTGATGTTTGCAAACAGCCTTGGCGATAGTCGAAATCCGTTAGACGTCAAGGACGTTCTGGACATTTAAACCTATACAAATAGTATTTATTCGGCCAAAAGAGTCTTTTTTTTTGCAATGAGCTATAAAAAAAAATTAAAAATAATTTAGCTAATAAATATTTGAATTATTGTCTTTCTTTTTTCATTTTGTATAAAAAACAAGAAGATAAACGAAAATAAAACATACCTGATCACAACGAAGCCACAATATTATTAAATCCTTGTATCGAAGAGGACCGCCAATTCCACAACCACCTCCTGTTCGTTGTAATCTTAAAAGCTCCGAATGTTGTCTTCCAAACTTCTCATAAATTTCCAGTGACCTAAAAATAAATATTATTTATTAGTATCTTTATAAAAAAAATTATAATTACATATAAGTATACTGTAATTTCCCTTGACAAAAAAAAAAATTCTTTATCTATATTTACAATTTTTCATTTTCAAAATAGAGATTATACGTAGAAAAAATGTTAAATAAGGAAAAAATTTTATTTCAACACGTGACTAAAAAGAGATAAATTTTCTTTTTTCCTCGCGACAATATTATAAACGAAATTCTAAAACCTAAAATATCCCTTTCGTCTAGACTATGAAAAAAAAAGCAAAAAGAATCTTCTATCTAAAATAGAATACAGGTTCAAGTTTAGATTATTTATTCAAATAAAATCGTACAATCTGAAATTATATAAAATTTCATTAAAATCAAAAATTTAGATAAAAATTAACAAAAATCTAGTATAATAATTCAAAATTGGAAATTTTTTTTTTTCTTTCAGGGATTTTTTTTTCAGTGTAAAGAACTTGATACGTGGGCGTTTTAATGATTGTTTAGTATAGACGCGACTTGCTTCCGTAGACAGCACATTGAATGTGTGACACGCAAGTCTATTTCGAATGTCAAGAAGAAAACATTAAAATTAGCGTGATGCAGTCGGGAGAGGTGTCTGACCGAAAGGGAACGAGGTAAATGACCTATAGAGGAAAGAAAAGTCTAATAGGTATGAAGCAAAAAAAAAAAAATAAAATAAAAATAAAATAAAAAATTCATTGGCATAGGTTAGAAATTTTGAAAAGGCTGACTGATTGGCCCTGACTTTTCGATACAGAGAAAATTCCTCAAACGACAAATAACGGAAATACTCGTGACGTCTTTATCTCTCTCTCTCTCAAGGGAAAAGCAGCAGTTCATCTGTTATAAATTGCACACATCGAAAATCGAGATTCATCACCTTTCACGCAAAAGAGACGAAAATTAATGGGATTTTATTTATTCAAAAATCGATTTTATTATCCACTCAGATTCGTTTTATGTTCAAAAAAATTCGAAATTTTATGACAAATAAAAATAAGTTCAGATACTTTAAGGCACTTTAGATAATTCTCACATTAGATGATTCAGATTTTAGATGATTCAGAATACTTTAGATAATTGAGAATACTTTAAAATAATTCAGTAAATATCAAAACAAGTGTAAAAAAAAATTCACAAATTTTTCACGAAAAAAAAAGTTAACGAAATCTTTGTAAAATTTCGAAGCTCTAAAGAAAGATAACAGCTTCTTTTTTTCCCCCTTTTCAAAATCTAATAGTTTTTCCCGAGGCTTTTTTTTTTATTGTCAATTTATCAAATGATTACAATCAATAAACATGTATTAAAGCAACAAGAATATAAATGTTCAGGAAATTATTATTAATGAAAAGTGATTATTTATTGTGAAAGAAAATAAAGATTATTATCACAATTTTCTTACGTAACATAATATAAAATTTCTGCTCCTTTTATGAAACAAAAAGGAAAATTAAATTCTTTCTATACTAAAAAAAAAATAATTTTATTTGATTTAAATACTCGATTACTTGACTATTATCAAATAAATATTTATTTTTATCAATTAATTATTATTTAAATCAATTAAATGGTATTTTTTTCAAATACAGAAATTATTGATTCAAATAAAAATTATTTGCTTTAAATAAATATTTATTTGATAATCTAGTATTTGAATCAAAAAAATTTTTTTTTCAGTATAAAATGAAATTAATATTGGAGATTTAAGAAAAGAAAAAATTTGTTTAATTCCCACGTGTTTTTAGAAATTGGCACACATTATGCAATATCAAATCTAAATCCTAATCATTATACATCCCGTTATAGTGTCATTGATTCAAGTTTGTCGAGTCTATATAATAAATTGCCGTAGGCGTATATTGTACGTAGGCGCGATTTCATTGATGAAAAGGAACGAGAAAAGGACGCAGGAGGTCCTCGAATAGACTTTATCGCTCATTCGTGGAAGTCAATCAGCAAACTACAACTTCCTTTCGGAATATCCAACATATATAATATGACGAATCCATTTTGCAATATATTTATATATATACATAAACCCCTCACTAATTTTTTTTTTTTTTTTCCTTAACCAAGAATTGACGAAGCATTGCTAATTGCATTATATTCATTAGCTTAGCCTGTGCGCTCTTATTTACCGGACACATATATAGTCAAAGTAGAATGTGCAAACGAACAAAAAAATTAAAAAAAAAAAAAAAAAAATTAAACACTTATATCAAATTATGGAAACAATACTAAAAAGTTAGAATAGAATTAATTTTCCCTTTTTCACATGTAAATTCACAAATAAATTTTTATTTGAATCAAATAAATTTTATTTTATTTCGCAATAAATCTTTATTTTGGACTAAATATTTATTTTATTCAAGTAAAAATTATTTGCTCCAAGTAAATATTTATTTTGTTCAAGTAAAAATTATTTAATTAAAGTAAATATTTGTGTTTGATTCAAGTAAAAATTATTTTATTCAAGTAAAAATTATTTTATTCAAGTAAAAATTATTTGCTCCAAGTAAATATTTTATTCAAGTAATATTATTTAGTCAAAGTCACTATTTATTTGGTTCATTTAAATATTTACTTGAATAATTTTTATTTAAAGTAAACAAATTTTATTTGAACCAAATAAATTTTAATTGATTTTACAATAAATTTTTATTTATTACTAAATATTTATTTTATTCAAATATAAATATTTGCTCAAAGTAAATATTTTTTTTGGTTTAAGTAAAAATTATTTTCTCCAAGTAAATATTTATTTTATTCAAGTAAAAATTATTTGCTCCAAGTAAATATTTTATTCAAGTAATATTATTTAGTCAAAGTCACTATTTATTTGGTTCATTTAAATATTTACTTGAATAATTTTTATTTAAAGTAAACAAATTTTATTTGAACCAAACAAATTTTAATTGAATTCACAATAAATTTTTATTTATACACTCAGAGAAATGGTATATTTGTCTCTGAGCCTACTAACTCATTTATTTGTTGCAAATATATTTTATTTCATTGAAATAAAAAATTTATTTGAGGCAAAGAAAAATTTATTTCTGACAAATAAAACTTTTATTTACGCTAAATAAATAAGTTAGTAAGCTCTGAGACAAATATACGTTTATTTAACTCAAATATATTTTATTTGGTTCAAATAAATCATTTCTCTGCGTGTACTAAATATTTATTTTGTTCAAGTAAAAATTATTTAATTAAAGTAAATATTTGTTTGATTCAAGTAAAAATTATTTTCTCCAAGTAAATATTCATTTTGTTCAAGTAAAAATTATTTAGTTGAAGTAAATATTTTTTTTTTGTTCAAGTAAAAATTATTTACATCCAGAGAAATAATTTATTTGAACCAAATAAAATATATTTCAATTAAATAAACGTATATTTTTGTCACAGAGCCTACTAATTTATTTATTTGGCATAAATAAAAATTTTATTTGTCTGATGTAAATTTTTCTTTAGCTCAAATATATTTTTTATTTAAATAAAATAAAATATATTTGCCAACAAATAAATGAGTTATAGTATAGGCAAGAAGACAAATATACCATTTCTCTGAGTGTAGTTCAAGTAAAAAATTATTTGGTCCAAGTAAATATTTATTTGATTAAAGTCAATATATTGAATATTGTTCAAGTAAAAATTATTTTAAGTAAATATTTATTTGATAATAGTTAAGTAATCGAATATTTGAATTAAATAAAATTTTTTTTTTCCATATAAATACTATCGTCGATATGGGTCAAAGTGAGGGGTTTAAGGACCTGTGATGTGCGATAATTAGAGTTTGGACCATGTGAACAATATATGACAATGTCGCAATTTTTGGCCATATAATAATTCGTTGATACCCCTTTACTTAATTATAAATATCAACGCATGTTCTTTTATTTTTTATCAATTGTACACACATATATATATAGTTTATTAGTCTCTCTTTACTATAACGTGTCTCTCTGCTGAACTTATTGACCTATGCCATTTTGATTATAACGAGATCTCGGTTAATTATGTCGCCTTCAAATCGACACGTAATATTAAACATACTTTCACTTCATGATCACGTCTCATATATGTAATAAATGTTGATAACAATACAGAAAATTATTTTTAATTATCGCGAAATTTTTTTTTTTTTTTTTTTTTTTTAAATTTTCTAGTTTCAATTTAAATAAATATATTCACCATAAATAATCTTTTTTTAGAAATTTTCTGAATAGAAGATTACAAGAGTATGTTTAATATATATATAAGATGTTGATCGTGATGTTGGATTATACAATAAGACATACTCAATGTTTTAGAAATGATTTATAAGTTTGTTTCGATCCGTGTTCACAAGGCATTTTATTACCTATCGAGATTTATTTTTGGACTAGTTTTCGTAGTAGGTTAGAAATTGTTTGGCGATAAATCTAGACAGATGTTGCCTGTAAAACGTGAAAACATTGTGATGATCGCAAAAATAAAAGAAACATTTACATGCGGAAAATAATTAAATGTCTCTATAATTAAAATTTGTAGTTATAATTATCAGATTTAAAATAAGAAAAAAAGAAATTTACTACTTTTATTTTTACATTTAAAAATTCGATAAAAAAAATTCTGTCAAATTAAATATTAACTTGAACCAAATAATTTTAATTTAAACACTCAGAAAAATGATTTATTTGAATCAAATAAAATATATTTAAATTAAATAAACGTATATTTATCTTAGAGCCTACTAACTTATTTATTTGGCATAATTAAAAATTTTATTTGTCATAAATAAATTTTTCTTTGGTTCAAATAAATTTTTTATTTCAATAAAATAAAATATATTTTGCAACAAATAAATGAGTTAGTAGGTTCTGAGACAAATATATATAATTTCTCTGAGAGAAGTTAAATAAAAAGAGGTATATTTGTCTTAGAAGAAAATAGACATTTTGTTGCAAATAAATTTTTTTTTATTTA